AATTCTTCGACGATTCGATAGCGACTCTCTGTTTCCCTTCTCGTATTCCATCTAAGAGCAACAGCTCATTTTTCCAGTTGTGGGTGGAGGTATACAACTCAATACCCCTCTAAATCCCTATGGAAATGCATTCACGACGTTAATAGCTGTCCCAAATGTACATCTAACATTCACTTACAACTTCATATTGTATAATAGGTATATATGTAGTATGTACCATCGTTTATAACGTATGCTTCTGATTGAATTAAATATCGAACGAATTTTACAAGTAACCCAGAAGGGGTAAAAGGACGACTGACTGTATAGGTACGGTTCGTTTGACGTGTGTGCACACTTCGGCGGCATCAGTCGAAAATGATTAGCGACAATTAGTAATCGCAGCGGGGTTGCACTCGGGCTGTCTCTAATCAGCGACAACGGCGACAATCTAACAAACGACTAACGAGAAATCCAGGCAACGCTACCTTATACGTTACTTCACATATGTATGTAGAAACACATACTGATCTGCATACATATAAAGTTTCATGTGCCCTGCGTGCGTATAATTGTTATCTAAAGTATAATATATATACTTATGTAGAAGAGCGCCTGTTGCATAATTGTCACCGCATCTCTTCATTTCATTATCGAATCACTTCCAATAAGAACAGTAGGTATGTTTAACAAATGTTGCCCAGAAGGAAAGACGGTCTGTGTCACCAAAGGAAAATGGCACTTTTTGAAATGGAATTTGCTCAGTAATGAATAAGTTGTTGTTCTCAATTTTTAATCCAATATTGTCATTGAAAAGATCAGCTAAAAAAATTTGAGCACACTGCAGGATTGACTACTGACGAAATTACCAATCATATCACTCCGTGTGCGTGAAAACACGAGACCCGACTAGATCGCCTTTTGTCTTTTGTAAACCCCGCTATTGCAAATTTCATCGAAATCGTTAGAACCGTTTTCGAGGAAGCTATTACAAGATAGCAAACTAATACGTAAACATTTATCTTAAAAAAATTTATAATTTGCATTATGACTCGATTTATAATTAGAAATTAAAAATCAAGGTTGGCACAGTCGATAATTTTCCTGCGGGCGGGGTCTGCCATATTAACTTATTATCGAACATATCCCGTTTTTCTTTCAAAAAGTATGTTGTGTATCTATACCTGCCAATAACCGTCGTATATGTAATTGATTAGAGAAATTTCGGATCTCAAGTGCAACGTTATATTATTTTCAGACAGTTCGTGTTTTAGGTCGATATAATGGCCGTGTGGCACGTCCGTTCTCGCGAAACAGCAAAGAGCTTTAATACGCGACAAGTGCTTAAATAAATTGCGCCCGCGTCTTACGCCGGATTAGGCCGTCGCGCTCTTGTTGCAGCTCTTTTTCTCTCTACCCGTATTTATCTTCTCGTGAAAATTACACTTTATTTTTCTTCCCTTATACCTACGTGTCGGGTAAAGCGCGGGAGGCGGAGTTGTGCGCTCTCGCTGCTGGCTGGTCTGGCTGGCGTCCTTTTTCGCCTGTTCTTCTTCTCCTAAAACGCGCGCTTTCAACAATACTGGCCTTACCGTTCTACCAAATGATAAATGTAAACTGTAGCTTACTCAAGAGAAAAGGCATAAACAGCTTGAAGATAAAAACACCACCGTCAAAAGAAACCATACTGAAAATAACGAAGATCGTTTATATGTATAATCATCATTATCACCAGAAACTTAGTTTTCGTGCAATTTTATTAGGAAATAAGTCGTCTTTATCGGTACTACACAACCCAGTAAACATCCCATAAGTCTACGTTGTATAGATTAGTCCGAAACGGTATATTACACGGTTACGATTAACACACCAACCAATTCTTTAGCAATTTTCATATCAGCAATTTATCGAACAATTTGTACGTTCTCTTTAATAAAACGTCCCAGTCATCCTGATTAATATTCGAGAACATTGGTTGTATCCCGGCCCCTTGTTCTCACCGCAGCGATTACAATCCGGACAGAAAGTGATGGATGATGAACGGCAACTTCGGGATTTTTTCAGTTTTCGGTTGGCTGTATCTCAACCTTGTGCCCCTGATAACACACGCATATGCGTTAACAATGTGTAGGAATACGGACCGAGAACGTTAATGTTTTACAATTGTTTTCGAAAAACCAAAATCGAAAATTTTGTGTTATTGTCTGGTTATTCTCGGAAGAATAAGTATTATGTTTTTTCAATACCTACATAGAATAGAATGCAATTATTTTTACTTTTGTTACATTTAATTGTATCGTTAAGAATTATTGCCGAATAATTGTGGCAGCAGGGGCATTCGCTTTGGTATAATTTTCTAATAAAACCCTAAGGGCGATTGTCTATGAAAGAAAAATCGAATCGGTACCGTTCGTGAAAGCTTTGTTACATGCAGTTTTATCATGAAATGCCGATCGATTACTCCCTCCTCTTCCTTTCGTTTCGTCATCTAGATCCATGGCACACGGCCACTGTAGATATCTGTTGAAGAAAAAGCAACACAACAAACAGCATTTCCGCCAACAACATGTTTACAAACTTCAGATCGGCTGGCAAAAAGCACCTACTCAAATGCGTCCACACGGACGAGATGCAGCTTGCATTTTCCAGATAGTAAAAAAATCTTGGACCAAACCATAAACACATAAATAAAGGATTGGCAGACAGATAAATAAATCGTTATTGTTTAAATTTATCGCAAAAGCTGGAATAGAAAAATCATCACACATCACCATTGTATGATATTTTAAATACATATATCCACGGTAGATTTGCGATAGTCAGTGAGTAGATAGTTGCCTTGGTCTAGAAAATATAGTGAGAGGTCGCCTAGTGACTTTTATTAGAATAAACAAATGATATTATGTACAACGTTACATACGTACACATAAAACACGAAAAGTAATAAAGTTTACATCTCTGAGTTATGCGCGACGGCAAGTTTTACGACCGCCGTCCCTGCGTCGCCGCCCCCGACAAGGGTCGAAACGGCACAATTTTCGGTTTTAGATTAAATTTTATCGGTTGGCGGCGGAATTGATGGCCGGCGGGTGGTGAATCAGTACAGAGATGGACTCCAAAATTTATGACCGCTTGCTTAGATGCGTATCGCATACATGCCAGCATATATGACATTGTACATATCTCACCACCCAGCTCGAACCTAATTGATTAGGGCGGAACAAACGACAAAATATGGTAAAAAGGAGCCGGGCTCGTGTTGTAACATTTGCACGACAAAATACAGAAAAGAACCACGAGTTTGATAATGGAATGACGATGTACGATGTACTATAACAACTACCCACTCTTATCGATTTATTCTTCTTGTTTGGCCTTAGCCGAGGACTGTGCCGTGTACGCTTTTTACCAGTTATTTTTGTTTCCATATTGTCCGTCACCTCGTTTCATGTGATTTAGTTGTCCTTTTGTTCAAAACTCCATTCCGAAAGACGACCGCCTTTGATTGTATGGCTACATTGTCTCGTAATTTCATTTGAAAAAAGAAGAAAAAGCCGCAAGTCAGCCAAGAATTTCGGTTAGAGGGGCATAACATCAAAGCAAATATTTCCCGAAACTGCTGGATAAGGGCGCATTAGGCCAGCCACTATTTCTTGTTTGCGCTGACATAATAAAAGACCGCAGCTTTACGGACGGCAACGACTCTGTTGTTGTTGTTTAACGTAGCGTTGGAATAACGATGATACTACCAGCTGATGTTACTGTTGCTGCTCGTGTTGGAGAGAAAACCCCGAAAAAAAAGTGTATTTATGTTACGTTTTTCGAATACAATCCCATTAAGGATGAAGCAAGGCCCCTTTACGATGACGAAAGGGTCTACTCGGAATGTTTCCTTAGGATAAAATAGTCCTTGACTGAAAAATAAACTCAATTGAAAGGAAGGAAGACATTTTATGTAACTACGCAGACTAAGCAATTAATTTCATTTCTTACGAAAAATACCATCTTCGCATTTTACTTTCTATATCTATTCACATTATAAAATTACCACAATTTCATTACCAATTTGAATAATTCACTACTTTCAATTCAGAAGGCAGGGCTGGTTTCAAAAGCGACTAATTAAATATATTCAGGTGAAATGAAATGCGGTCAGTAGGTACATTGTGGATTTTGAGTATCACCACTGAATACCCACCTGACTCGTTTGAGGTTATAACTCACAACATTTAGCTAGCCGTTGAGTTGTTTTCTTAGTTGCCTAGCTGCATTAGAAAATGTCAGATTTTTTAAATTACCTGCGAAATACACCTATATATATATGTATATAGTTATATACCTATGTTGGTACATACATATGGGAAACTGCTTCAACGAACCAATGGCAATGATAAATAGTCTGAAGTGGCAAATACTCGAAAATTCTATCGCAAACATCTCCAGCCGTAGAAGGAGCTTGTTATCATGACGATGGTGGCGCGGAGAGCGGCGTCGACGGGCAGATAGGGGGTGGCTGATGGCGTCGGCGTCTCCGGCGTCGGCCTGACTCAGCATCACCCTGAGCGCAATCGAAACTCGAATCGTGGATTGTACGCTCGACATGTTTTCGTACATTAACGACATTCTGCGTTCGCCGGCACTGAACAACCATTTGCTGGCTCTCTCATACGACTTTCTGGGTAAATATTGAGAAGCTTTTACTCGGAATTAGCTAGTTTCTGTATACTCACAAATAAAACGCGTAAACATACGTATTACGCACGGTACACTTACCTATAACGGAAAATAGCGGAAAATGTATACACATACTTCTTTTTGGACGATTGATTTGACCAGTTTCATAGAAAAATTGGTCGGTATTTTGCCAAAAGTACCTGACGTGAATTGCGATCTCTAATTTTTTTGTTCTCATCAGCCCCTATCAAACCGAAGTTGTTACGTAGAAGAAAAGACGATTAAATATCAACTAATAGGCCATATATACCAATTTAGTGATAAATCCATGTTAAATCATTAACCAAGAGTTTTAATGTCGTTTATTAATTTGATTACATGCCTTTCGGTCTGAGCAACTATTGTCTAAATGAAGTATTAGGTCCAACTGCAGGACCATGGCCTTTCAGCCCAAATCATAATTCTACCATGGATTCCGACCGTGAATGACTATGTTCGTAAGAATTCACGATGTTTAGACGGAAAAGTAATTGATATGTCACAGAAAATTGTAAGCGTTGATAAAATGTTAATATAAAATATTGTACATCATTTAATTTACGGTCAAGGGTTAACGTGCACATACTAAAATAATAATATGAATAAGGTAATATTTCACAGTAAATGTATCTAAAGTCGTATTGGTAAAGGTGATTGCATCTTCACGAAACTACATGTAACAATTTTTATTACAAAACTCGACTTCTAGAACTGTTGTTAAGGATGTAGACATCAAACGATACGAATGATACGTATAAATCACGCCTTTTCGGAAAATTCTGGCCAAGTTTCCATCTCTTCCAATAACGCTTTTCCAGGAGACAAAGTAGACACAAGCTGACTTGCCCCAAACAGTTTATAATTTTTGTCTATATAACCCAACATTACACCCATCTTGATTAATTCCTTACACGCTTTTATTTGTGCTTTGTATGGAATTTTGGTTTTAAAGTCGCCCGTTATCGCTATCCCTAAGGATTTTCTGTTATACCCGAATGTATGGGAGCCCACGCCAGTCCAACCTCTTCCTTCGTAGACCTTACCGTCACCTCCAACAATAAAATTGTATCCAATATCCCACCAGCGTTGTTCTTCCATGTGATACCTTTGCATCGATTTTATTAATTTTTCACAAGCTGTAGATGTGTTGCAATTTTGAGTGGCAGTATGACAAATTATTATTATATCGACTGGACCAATGAGTTTAATAACGTCTTTTGGGAATGCAGCATTCCATTGTTCGCGGGGTACTATCTGTAGAGCTTCTCTTCTGACGATTGCTGTTGCTGAAAATTTCTAATATACATTTACGTACTTATTATATGATTATAGTATCATATTATTGTAATACAAAATAAATACTTGGTATCGCCTCTGTAATGGATACATATTCTGGGCTACTTTCCGACATTGATTCCATCAAGGGATTCGGTGTTACTTTGTGTATTTTATAGTGTAATCTCACCAACATATCGATATTTTGGACCGTTATCATGGTACGAATTGTGAATAAAAGTATTGCCATTAGCAAACCAGCAGTTATAAAATACAATAATATTTTTATTTTCTTACAAAATAACTGCGTCGAATAACTGTGATCGTCATTTTCTAAAAAAAAAATTATATCACTTTCCTTATCTTTATTATAAAAATCAAAGATCTACACATCCACCAAGAATTATTTATATTGATTTGCTATGTTCACATGTTCACAAACCTTCCGAAAAATTTAGCTCGGCGATACCAGACTGGCTTTTATCACATTGACAATTTACGTTGTTGCTAGTATATTTCCCTTGAAGTACATTAAAATTATCGGAATTAACTCCTATCATTTCTTTATGGTTCTGTATCAAAACAATCTTAAGAAACGTAAAACTTTTCCTTCAAAATACATATATTATACTTATTATTAAGTTTAATTGCTACATGTATACCTGCTTACCTCAATTAAATTCAGTTTGTTCTTGAAAAAAAACTAAATACACTGCACGCTCACGTTTGCAAGATATGTATAAGTGAAAAGTGACTGTGATATAAAAGAGATGACTGGAAAGCATTACAAGGTCGCGAACGGGGACTCACTGTTTTTATATCAAGTAAATAACCGAGTAAACAAGTGTGGAAGTGTGTAAATTTGTACATATACGTATATTTTTGTTATTGACGGTGCTGTATCGTCTTCAATAGGTATTCTTCGATTATTTCGTTTTCCTTTTATAAAACTACGAATTGTTTCAATGTATTACGTACGCAAGACAACTGATAAAGTATAGGTAATGCATAATGATTAAACCTATTATATAAATTTAATTTAGTAAATCAATTTTATTGTGCAGTTCTTAATGACGTTTCGAATGAATTCGTTGGGATAACCATAAACCGATGCATTTTCACAATTATTAACCGTGTTAAAAAACTATACACTCCGTTGAAAACCTTATCTAAATTGTTGGAATTTAATTACACTGGATGCAAGGAGCCATTATCGTAAATTGTTGCAAAACAGAATTTCCTTCCTATTAAACGTAGCTTAGTGTTTGTACATTACTTAACTGATAACGATTTTGCCTGTTCTCCGTCTTTCTCTCCATCTCCCGCTGGTTGCATTAGTACATGGGTAGTTTTCGCGGAGTCGAAATTTGAATTTAATATAAGGACTCATTTTTGCTCCATTTAATTTCATTGCAATAGTACTTACTTCGCGTGGTCAATCACTTTTCACAAACATCCGCTAAAAACACGTAGATCTATCTAGAACATTGTAAAACATTCTTAAACATCTGCAACGTTTTTAATGTTCTTATAGGCAAAGCGCCAGGGAGTTATTTACAAAAGGCAGTTACGATTTCGTTACAAACATTACATTCACGTCTATACATGATTAAAATTTACCCGCCCCAACTTCAATTGCCCATCAGAAGTAGGAGACCCAAAGCTTATTCGTTGCAGTCTCAACCATCAACGGGATCAGCAGTGGGTGGTTTCAAGCAAAATTAGATAATAATTATGGAATACTTATTATACAAACACGTGAACCAAATAAATATTTTCATCATAAACAAACATTAACCGTTCGTAAAGGTTTTTATATTTAACGTTTACTGGGCAATATCAATAAAAACTAGGCCATTAGCGATAATAAACTTTTTATGAATCGTTCGTAAGTTTCATCTAACGACTAACCTAAAAGTGGAAGACACTCCGTATAATAATAGAAAAATGGAGAACAGATAGCAAACACACATTATATTTACAAACAATAAGTACTGTTTCCTTCTTTATAATATCCTGTTTTGATGTTCGCAAACGTGGATGTAGCAGTTCTTTAAACGTTCCGTAATTAAACCAAATGGTTGGCACTATTGGCGGATCTTTATAAAGTGCTTCTCTTAAATGTACAATTAACGCTTTGTCATTAATGGCAACCATTTATATCCGATCCATTGAACTCGGGACTAGGAATTCGGGAGCTTGATAATATCGTGTTTGAGAGTAATACGTGATACGACCACGTCCAACTTCTTAATGCATCTGAGAGAAGAATAAAAGCAAAACGGACATAAGATGCATGGAATGGCTTGGAGCCAGTTTCCGTTTTCGGGCGAGTTCCGGTAGTGTAGCGTAGAGGGTAGAGCTAGCTGTCTGTGATGGCAAGGGACGGGAATGAAGCTACATTAAACGGCTAGAAACGATTCTTTCTCCCGACGCGACCGACGTTCAACATGCACCAGTTTTCCCGCATAACTTTCAACAAGTCTCCTAACTCAAAACTCCAAGACTTAATATCCAAATCTCCTCTTCCTTTTCCCATTTCAATGCGTTCGCTTTTATTTAAAAATTACTCTAATGAATCAAACATTAGAAGTTACGAATGGAGAATGTTTGGACTTTGGAAAAAGATCTTGCTCTACGAAATCCATGATGCTTGATGCTACTCCTTAATTTTTTGACGTTTTTCTTATAATTTAAATTCGACTTCGAAATTGGCATGCGTTTCATTCTTTTGATTTCCATGATTCATAAAATGTGTAATTCAATTTTGATAAACACTTTTACAATACTCCTTTTTTTCGTGCTAGATAAGTTTAAAATTGAACATTTGTAGGATAATTTGGTCAACAGTTGTTGGCTAAGGGTGGGGGTTGGATTTAACCGCTTTAATTATTCGATTTGGAATCGGTAACATCCCCACATTGGCAGAATGTTAACGTACACACACCAGTGTGTGCACATATATGTAGGCCATGATGATTGCAACAACTGCTTAATGCGCGCAATTAAAGCAGATGCAATGTCTCAAAATGCGCACTGCGGTCGCCGATACAACGACCGCCACAACCGGACATACTCCTATTTACTGATCCGTGCAATAAAACACACGTAGTAGGTAGGTACACAGAGATTATTAAATGTTCTCGAGCAAATACCCACCAAGTAAAATTTATCGCTCCATCCATTACGACTCTAATAAGTATCGTAGGTACATTTCAGAATGTAGCTAAACCTCTGAGGTCATTAATATGCAATAGGCACATGAAGCTATGTACGTATTATATGCACGTTTGTAGATACTTGGGGATCAAAACTGAAAAGGAAAATCTATTTCGCGTAAGGACGAGATTTTTTATCATGTCACCTATTAATCTTTGTGTTTTCAATTGTTTAGAAAATAACAAGAGAATGTTTGGTTTCAGTTGACAGAAATGTTGATGTACGGCATTATGGGAATATCTAATACTTTTAGAAGAGAGTGGCTAATCTCTAAACAGAGGGTGTTCGTAATAATTCAGAAGCGTATTTTCTGCAAAATCGTTTCCTGACAATGTTCCCGCTTAATGGTTTTTCAAAATAACGGGTCGCAGAGGATCAGCAAAGAATACCAAAAACCACCCCACGTGTATATTATACGGTCGCTCTTGGGATTAGATGCGATAAAGGCAGTTAGGCGATGCTCTAGCCAATAATTGCTTATTAAATTACCCTTTGCGCCGCGTAAATCCTGCTTAAAGCACAAGTATGAAAAGTTAAATCGTCCCGATCGGTAACAGAGCTGTAACGCTATTACGCTTCCACCGCTAAAGCTGCGCCATAGCGAGCGCTATACCTACAGGTACCCGAAACGTACACATGCAAACGATATAAGCAATACACGCTCCGTTATCGGCGTTATTGCAATTTCTACTTGCAAGTCGTTAAAGGTTGTTACACGCTATTGATTTAACACTTATGCCACACAATAAGCGTCAACCTTAATTGTCTTCACCTACTCGAACTACTAACGGGGATGACTCTAGCCTATATTTAGTTATAGTTGACGTTAAGCAAACCTCCATCACGTCGTTTCAGGGAAAACGGAATGTCAATACATGAGTTATTCTCCTACAGGTGAACATTCCTATTATAATTTAAACTTAGCTGTTATTCTTTATTATTTTATTACTTTGTTTTTTGTGTTTCTATACGGTTTTCGATCTCAGCAATCGTAATAAAAACTACCTACCAACTGTTATGTGCACAGTACATTTCATATTGGTAGTAGTTTGTAGTAGACGTTTGCAGGAACCGAATCTGGAGCCTGTCACCAGTCGGAATGAATGATACAAGTGTCAAGTAAATCAGAAAAGTTTTTTGCACGCGAGCATTAGCATAAGTTGGGTTTTAAGTTGTGTGCTGGGGACATCCCAGCGGTACCGAATGTGGAAATTAATTTACTGTCAAGGCTTCCTTTGCTGTCACTGAAAAGGTACAATTTCCTTACATAAATTAGAGCCAGTAGGGCGGCTTAAGGGTCTCGCACGTCAGCGAGTGTGTTTTCCCTTATACATAACACACGAGTCACTACTAACTCCACGCAGACCTTTTGTTTTAATATTCTTCATTCCTCAAATTTTATCTACCTAGTTGTATATACTAAATGTTCCAGAAATCAGTTCGTTTATTTAATCTTATTAAATCGCATAGACAAAGTTGAATGTCGTCATTTGTCCTTCCGTTACTACAATGTCTTAGAATTAGGATTAAAAAAAAATAATTCTACATAGTTTAAATAGGAAACGAATTGATTCCATCTGTTAACTCTGTACTATGGGCAATCAGAATGTCAGTCTCGAAGGACCATTGTTCATTTACGTCAGTTTGAGTTTCCTAATATAAAACTTTTGAAAAGCCGCATTGGTAGCCAAACAATTGTTACGTTTTAATATTATAATATTATGGAATATGCCAATACTGTTCAATCAATAAACTACACCGAAGCGAGTTTTGGTTTGATTTGTTCGGAAAGTCTTTTGAGAGGTGGAGAAGAGTGCTATGGTCGCAGTAAGAACGAAATAAAAATCCGTTTTCCAGAGAAATTGAAATGGTTGACGTGTCCTTTATCAGGGTGTTCTTTGGAACGTCTCGCATTAGTGCCACATTCGACATCGGGCAGAGTTTTCCTTATTCGGCGACCAGATAGGATAGGTGAACGTGTTCACTTGCATACCGATATATGCAAAATGCAGATGTTCCATTATGTCCACGGCGGGCGCGATGTCGAACAACATCGGCCCCGATTGTCATGGAAATGAGGAAAATACACATACATGCACTCGTGGATTGTATTTACATGTCTATACACGGGTCTGATATATTAGTCCTTCAGGCGACTGTACAGTCGCCATAAATTTGTCCGCTAGATTAGCGTTTTCTTACCTTGCGGAATTTATGATGACAGCACTAGCTTAACGTGTTTACTGCCGGGCTCTTCATTTAGTTCCTTCTTATTCGCCCTATGCACTCTCCTTTTCCTTTCTCCTATCTTGGTACCGACGACTTACTTACGTACATACCCTCTACCCGTAAGTGTATACCTATACTACGTCCTGGAGAACGGGAAAACATTTTTCTTCTTAGGAACAACGCATATTTGTTAGTTTTTATTACGTATTTGCTTGTAGGAATAGGTTTGTGTGCGTGCGTGAATGTATGAGTGTTGTAGCATTTGATTAACAAGGTCTCATGTCAACGTCAGCATTAATGCATTTTCGTTAGCGGTACTAGTATGGGTAG